TGATCAAGTAAAAATATATATATATTAATATTTTAAATAAGAAAAGAGACATTTGTTTTTAAAGAAGAAAATATAATGTTAAATCCATAAGTTTTTCTTAAGATTTCTCGGACTTTATAGATAGTTTAAGAAATATCGTTTGAGAAATATAAAAATATTTGAAAATTTTTAAAATATCATGAGAAGATTTAATTTCATTGAAATTTTTTATTTTTATATACATTAAATATGTGAATTTTTTTGATTTATTAAAAGATATAGAATTACAATTATTATGCATTATTAATTTTAATGAATATATTAAAGAAATAAAATAAATTTTGTTAAATAAAAGGATTTATGATATACGGATTTTGATGTAGATTTGGGATTTGATAGCGACATATTTAGTTCATACAAATACATTATTCTATTTTCCTTTGTATCAAAGTTCTACGTTCTACGTTTCCAGTTCTATATCTCGACAACTATTCACTTGTCTTTGCAACAGTTTACAGATAATTCGGAATAACTACTTTGTAAGTAAATTAACCTCTTGGAAATATAGATACAAGAAAATTAATCTGATTTCACACATTTTCAATAGAGTAATTATTTATCATCAAAAATTTATATTTAAGAAAATATTGAACAAAATTTTACGATAAAATTTTTCGATAATATGTACGCAATATAAAATTGTTCCCTATTGAATGGAAATTTTACAATATAGAAGAACCAAAGTATTCTCATTGAAAATATCATACATATATTTTCACACACGCACAATCTCGCGAGCTCATTATGTTCCCGGCCACATTGTGAAAAGGACGAAAACTCTCCTCGACGGATTTAACTTCACGATACCCACACACCTGTGCTTTACCTGCGCCACGAGAGTGTGATCAACTGTACGTAATGGGGACAACCCTTACTAAATCCTGTATTGTAAGAAATCGGCCGGAGTTAATAATAGAGCTCGGCTTTCGGCTTTGTGCCAGGCGTATTGTGCCGCGAACTGAGATCGTAACTCGTGTGGGATTCGACCGGTGTCCTCTTATGCTCGCGAGGAGAGGATGCAAGAGGATGCTGCAGTCGTCTTTCACGCCCAACCAGAGTAAGGGATTAAGGGATGATGCGGTGATGCGCGGTTCAAAATTTTGAAAAATTTTCCCCAACTGAATGGTGATATAATTTAGAAAAGGGAAAAATTGTTTTAAAAGGTTTAATGAATATAATCTAAATTTTAGTAATTTCATTACGTTTCAAACGTATTTTAGAAGATTTTTTTTTTTTTGGAAAAATTTTTTTTTAAAAAATTCTCTCGAATAATCACGAATGGTGATGTAATTTACGAGATGTTATGATAAAGAAATTAAGTTTAGAACGTAATTTAAATTTGATCGTCAATTTACCCTTTTCTACGTTGATATTAAACTTTTAACAATTTTGAAATTTTTCCAAAGTATTAATCACACACGAGTTATTTTGTAACGAATTAATCATTTATTTTTTATAAAAATTTAAAATACTAATCCTACGTTTTAACATTAAAATTCAAAGATTTCATTGAAAATCTTATTAATCAATTTTCTGAATATCTGCTTAAATTAAAATCTTTAACAAATTATTAAAAAAAAAAAAAAATGAACTCTGACCAATTTTCAAATATCATATATCATATAGTTCGCAACGTTCTTCGTAACTATTCTTCGACCATTATTTCGAGGACATTCCATCGCACACGAATCTTCGTACGTTCCTTTAATCGAGACACGAAGGCAGAAAAAGCCCCTAGAAGCATCGACACGAAATGGAGAAGTAAAGGCACGAGCGAGGTACGTCCGTGTTGTAGAGCGGCAGCATCTGGTGTCACCCTTCCCTCCTTCCTCGCATCGCATAATCCCTCTCTTTCCATCCTATCCTTTTTATCCCTGTCCCGTATCGTTCCGTCTCTTCTCTATTTCTCCTCCACTCTCTCTTTCTTTCTCTCTCTTCCATCCACTCTGCGGCCACGTTCCTCCTTCTCTACCGCTCTCGTCCCTGTCCTCACTCCGGTTCAGGCCGCTGCCGTTGTCCCGACGTTACTTCCGTGACGATGAGCTTCAATACGCGCCGATAGTCGCGGCGGGAAACCAACGAGCCTACCCAAAGTCGTCCATGGTTTCCACGCATCCAACCCAACCCAACCCAAACCCAGCCTAGCTCAACCTGGGACGCGACCAATACGTACATACACATATATATACACACACACAACTCGAGCGTGCATCCAGAGAGATGGAGGGAGAGAGAGAGAGAATCATATCACGTGGCTGCGGTTGTATAGGTATAAACACGTGGAAGTGGGACAGAGAAAAGAAGAGTAAGAGGAGTAAGAGAAAGAGAGAGAAGGAATGGTTGCGCGGGCGCAACCATCCGCTCCTCGTTCCTCTGAAATAATAATAGAAGAATGAAAATGAAAGAAAAGGAAAAAGTAATAATCTCGGGGATCTTTTAAAATCCATCGAAGCAGACGAAGCCGCCGGATTGTGTTGTGTGTTAGGGCAATCTCACCGCCGTGCCTCCTCGCGTATCCTTCCCTTCCTCTTTCCTTCCTTCTTTTCTTCTCCTTCTTTCTTTTTCTTGCTGGTCCACTCATTCGTCCGGCTCGCTCGTTGTCTCCTTTTCGTTGTCGTAGTCGAGCACACGCCCCCTCCTCCCCTTCCTCGTGAATAGAAGTCAACATCGACGTGAAATCCGAAGATACCGATGTCGAAGAAAGAGAGAGAGAGAGAGAGAAAGTCGTACAACCAGTACGACAATACGTACGTATCGGGAATCCGCGTGTTTAACGACGTTTATCTCCTTTTCCCTCTTGCCTTCTCTCGCTTCTCTCGTTCGATGTCTTTGTAATGGCTATCGGAAGACAGACTTCCAAGAAATGGTTAAGGATAAGATGTGGTAACCGTTTGTTGCGAGGAGAATCGTAGATACTTGTAAATATATTTCATATTTATCCATTTCTGAAAATTATTATATTTATAGGAATGAGCAAAGACATACGGAATTTAACTATCGTGTATTCTTTCGAAGAAAGTCCATAAAGTGAGACATCTCAATAATTCGAAACATAATATATATATATATATATATCATCTTACAAAAAAATTTATCAATCTTAAAACCTAATATCATCTTTATCATCTTTCTCTCAAAAAAACGTATCGCGCAAATATATCGCAAGAATACAATTGTCCAATCCTCGAGAAATCCTCATAGTCCAATCGAACCCTCCTCCTTCTTCCCTCCGCACCGAGTTCGTCAAATTGGCTCGAAACAGGACCGGTCCAACTCTTCAGAACGCGAAACTCGGGACGCCACGCATTTGACGCATTAACACGATGAAAGAAGGGAGAGGAGGAGGGAAGAGGGAGGGGGAGGGGGTTAGTCGATGTTCACCGGAAAACAGGGATGCCGGGGAATTCGGGGGTCGGTTGACAGCAGAAGGGAAGGGCGGAGGGAATAAGGCAGACGAGGACCAGGAGAGAGAGTACAGAGAGAGAGAAAGAGAGAGATGGCGAGAGAGAGCGTGAGGCGAATAGAGAGGGAGAGAGAAGAAACGATTGGGTTCGTTTCGGGGTGAGCCGGAGGGAGGCACAGGATTTCACGGGAGGCTGATCACGAATGGACGCGTCTCCCGCAGCTCTGCCGCTGACAGCCAGGAATTGGAATTGCATCGGCGTCGCTCGATAGCCAGCCATCCCGCCAGTCAGCCAGTCAGGCAGCCAAACGGCCTAACATACCATGCCTACCCCATCTGCCTGCCTGCTCGTTGTATTGCCTGCGCTATACCTGCTGCCTCCGCTGCTTGCCCGGTTGCCTATATCTCGCGCCTTGCCGGCCCACACACGGACCTCATCTACTAGCGCGCCTCCTCGATATCTCCTTTCGTGGAGATCCATCCAGGCAAGATCCATCGAGGAGGGATGGATGGACCAGGTGGCAATCCTCGATCCCGATAACGGTACAGCCCACTGTTTGGTTACGCTCGTACGCTCGTACACCTGTGCTCCACAGGATATGGGGAGGATAATAAGCCTTGGCGTGGAAATTGCGAGTTTCGTGAGTGGTAGGTTTGGTAATTGGATAATGATCGCGCACAGTTTTTGAGAAATTTGGAAGCGCAGAAATTATTTTTTTTTTGAAGTTTCAAAATCGGAATACTTGCTATTGTCATTACTTACGTAAGTTACGTAATTTTTCTTATACTGTTGCTCTTATCGTTCGTAAGGATCATAAATATATATCTCGATCGAGATTACAGTACAAGAAATTCGATCAACGAATACTACTGATTTTAAGATCAGGTCGAAAAAGATATCAAGAAATCTGTGAATTTAAAACGCAATGAATATATTCTATCCAAATCTACTTACAAAAATCGATCATAAATGGGGATCGGGTACAATTAAATTCCATTATCGATGGAAGCAGGAATTACTTGTCGCAATATTCCGCGGCCGGCCATATAAAGGCGGCTCTATTTACCAACGGCAAATCGTCGAAAAGGATCATGGCCCGTTTGTCGCCGCTTCCCTGCCAACTCGTTATTTGGGTTATCGAATGGGCCTGTGCACGATGCGAGCCCAGTGCGCGAGTAGAACGCTTGGCCAGATACATTACACGTAGCACGTATATAACCCGGATTGATGCCGGTGTGGAGCTCCGCGAAATACCGGATGCTGCTGCTCTACGACCAGTATTGTCAGACTCGTGTTTTCGAGGGGATTGGATTTTTTGATTTAAAGGGCGGCAAGCCTGATACCTATCCCGCGAGAGACCCGCGATCGACTGCCGACTCTCTCTCTCTCTCTCTCTTCTCTCTCTCTCTCTGTTCCTCCCGTTCTATGCCATTCACGTGCACGATACGAATTTACCGCTTAAAAACAGACGTTATCCCGCGATTACGTTGGCCGGGTATAGAAAGTTTGAAACGCGCAACAACGGGGGAACAATGGACGCGACACTCGTTTTTCGACCACCGTCAATTGGAATGTATAGCGGGTTGATATTCAATCGTGGTTTTAGTGTTAAAAATGTAAAATACCGCGGGGGGGAGGAGGAAGGGAGGGAGGGAGGAGGAGGAGGAGGAGGATGTTTGGAAAATTGGTAAATGGATTTGGATTGGTCGTGTCGCGCGCGATAAAAGATATAAGGTTCTTTTTTTTTTTTTTTTTTGGTAATTAGTAAGTTAGTAATTGTTCG